CCGCCGCCGCGCCGCCGCTCCGGGGGGACCCGGCCGCCGCCAGGATGCTCCTGCCCACCTTGTACCTCGTGCTGCCCCTGCTGGGTGAGTGCCCCCCGCGCCCGCGGGCAAGTTTCCCCGGGACTTGGGATTTTTTTGCAGCCCCAACTCGGAGGGAAACTTTCCCACTAGGGTTTTTTTTCCTCTCCTCTTTCTACCCACCCTACCTCCTGCGGGTGGAAAAGGGGGGGGGGGGGATGGCAGGTTTTCCAGCCCTCAATCCTGTTTGCTGCTTGCCCCCCCCAGTGCTGTGGGGAAGGGGGAGGGCTGGGTTGTGGTGGGGAAGGGGTTAATGCCACTTGTTTTTCTGCCCCAAGACAGAAAAGAAGGGAGAGAAATAGGGGTTGCGGGGGGATGGGGACGGATGCATGGGCACCTTGGAAATGTGTGGGGAAGAGCAAAATAAATGCCTAGAGAGACTGAGAGCTGGGGTGGGGGGGTTCATTTCGGTCCCAATTGAAATCGCAGCCCCGGTGGTAAGGGGGGGGGGAGCATGTCGTGTGTGTCATCGTCCCCCCCAGCCCAGCATCAGGAGGGAGAGGGAGGCACGGTGGAGCTGGGGAAGGGGGTCCCTATTCCCTTGTGTACAGGAGGCTCCTTCTAGTCCCTCTTCTGCCCTTAAACTCCCCCCTTAGGGTCCGTGCGGCTCAGGGGGGCGTCTCTCTGCACGCTCCCAGGCCCGACCCTGCCCCTGTTGGGAGCCGGCGGGGAGCTGCGCTGCCCAAGGGCCCCCCGGGCTGCAGCCGCGGGCGCCGAGCCCCTCTGCTCGCTCCCTGAGAGACTTTGTGGCTTTGTTTCCTCTGTCTCCAGATGCACTTTTGTCCGCAGAAGTGAGCGGGCTGCCTGGAGGGGACCGCCTGGACTGCGTGAAAGCCAGCGATCAATGTCTCAAGGAGCAGAGCTGTAGCACTAAATACAGGACACTGAGGCAGTGCGTGGCCGGCAAAGAGAGCAACTTCAGCCGGGCGACGGGCCTGGAGGCGAAGGACGAGTGCAAAAGCGCCATGGAGGCTCTCAAGCAGAAATCCCTGTACAACTGCCGCTGCAAGAGGGGCATGAAGAAGGAGAAGAACTGCCTGCGCATTTACTGGAGCATGTACCAAATCTTACAGGGTACGTTGCGAAACACAGACACTCTCCGCTCCCCCCCAGCGCAGCGTGCTCGCATGGCCCCTCGCAGCCTCACTCGGGGCCACTGCAGAGGGGCTGGCCTCACTGCTCCCCTCGTGCTCTTCAGCTGCGCAGTCGGGACCTCTCCTCTGACCCAGGACCAGCTGCCGCTCTTGGGAAATTTGCAGGCAGGGTTTCCTCCAGGGGATGCAGCTGACCTTTGCGAAGCGTCGGGCATGAGCCTGTGCGCAAGCTCCAGCAGCCACCCACCTGTGGCTTTGCCCTGACCCAGGAGTTTAAGCACTTGTTAACTAGCTCTCCCTTCCCATGGGCACTATAGCTACGTAGCTTCCCGGGGCAGCGTAGATGTGAAGTCCAGGTTCTTCTACTCTTCCTTTCCCTGCCCTTGTATTTACCAACAGCAACCCACCCAGGGACAGATGTGTGAGAGAGGGCCCCTTACTTTGCAGAGCATGGGAAAGGAGCTGATTAGAAATGACAGGAGGAACTGGCAGGACCTGCTCCACGCCCACTGAAGTCCTTGGCAAATCTTCCACCGGCTGCTGGGGACAGGAGGGGCCCTTAGTCAGTAGAGATGTATACACCACCCTGGCACGATTCTGCATTAAGGACCTCTCAGGTCAATGGGCAGTGCTGGCTCCTGCTCGCCTCAGACATTCATCCTGAAAGCGTTTCTGCCTTTTTATTGTTTCATTGTTGTTGGGTTGCGGGTTTTTTTGGTTAGCTTATCCAACAAAATGTCAATTGGACTGTGGCGAGGAGCTGAGTGTCTGTTGGTTACCCCTTTCATAATCAATCACTCTACTCCTCCTCGGACGCTTTATGCAGTGTAAATCTCTCTCCTCTCCGGAAAGCTTTCTCTTGGGAGGGTTACCTTCAGTGATGCCAGGTTTCAAATGGCCCCTGATCTTTTTTTCTCTTAAGCCAGGGCCTGATGCGAGTAAAAGGGAACTTCCCCTTCCCAGCAGCTCTCTTCTTGGCACCTGAAGACAGGAAATGGTTGTGATGTCACAGCTTGTCTCTTCAGATTTGTGACTTCATTCCAGGGAGGAGAAGGGGAGGGAGTTAATGG